AGGGATGACTCGCTAGAGCCCGAGTCCCGCCGGTGACGCCTGCGCGACGGCGTGCGGACGCTGTCGCCGTGCGATTTGGTGCCGTTGGCCATCTTCTTGCCGCGAGGCGTCTCGCCGGCATGCGACGTCTTGCTCCTCTTGGCCGCTCGCCCCTCGCCCTTTTCGTCGTCGGCGTGACGGTGCAGCAGGTTGGCGTAGGGAGCGGCCATGGGCGTGTGCGGAGGGAATCTACTGTTGGTGGAAGGGGGCACGAAGTAGTAGCAGCCCGCATCGTCCTTCTTGCCCTCGCGCTTCTTCACTTCAATCAGCCGGGCAAATTCATCCCTGGTCTCGGCGTCGGCCCTCTGCTTGAAGACGTCCTCCACCATGGCCACAAAGTCCGCGTCGCCGGACCGTTCATCGTAGAGGGTCCTAAGAGCCCAGGCCGTAGGATAGCGAAAGTGCATGAGGGCCTCGTCCACGGCCGCCTCAACGACCATGTCTGCAAACTCCTTGTCCTCTGGCTCGCGGTGCTGCGCCCGTTTTGGCGCAGAAGCCTGCTGCTTGTTGGCCTTTGGCGTACCAGTAGTGGCGATGACGACAGTGGTGCTGCTCTTGGCCTCTTCACCGTTCTTCGCGTGCGGGTTCTGCTGCTGCTGGTGCTGCTGCTGGTGCTGCTTGGCAGGCAGCGACACGCGCCGGGAGGGACGTCGACGCGAGGCTCCCTTGGGGTCGTAGTCGTCGTCCTCGGCGTCTCTGGCGGCCTGCGCCCTCCGGTGCGATGGCGCTGACGCGGGAGCAGGAGGCGGTGTCGTCGAGGGAGCGGGGGGCGATGGTGCCCTGCTGGGGCGAGTCCTGGGCTGCGCGGGCTGGTCGTCGTGATGATGTGCTGCGGCGTGTGACGACGTCCCCGACGGCCGGAGGATGATCTTGCGCACCGACTGGTGGCCGGGCCCTCCGTCGCCGTTCTTCTTGGCCTTGGGCAGCGTCCCCAGCGGCGCCATGGTCTCCAGCACGCCGTAGCGCATCAATCCCGCCTCCTCGAAGCTGGCCTTGCTCTGGACCGACGGCTCCAGCCACCGCTGCATAAACGTCTTGGATTCATTGCCGGCAGATGCCTTGGCCTCGAGCGGCCGCGAAGGGCTCGAGAAGCGCGACCGCGACGCCCTCGTGTTGGAGGAGATCATGGCGGCGAGTCGAGTTGCTGGTTGCCCCCAGCCCTGGCCGCGGGACGGGCAACGCTGCTCTCGAGAGTGTCCTGCGAGGCGAGAGAGAAAAAAAGGGAACCGGGTCAGCCACTGGATTTCGGCCAAAGCTTCAGACAGGGGGTGGGAGAGCAACGACGAGGAGGCGACAGCGCCTGGGAGCCGCGGCCGGGAAAATATGTACTTCTCTCTGCAGCAATAGCATCCGCCGTCGAGGCTCGCTGCTGATGATTTTTTGGGCGCTCCCGACGCGCTTTTTGCGTGGCTTGGGATCAAGGGACGATGGCTGTGGGTTGCAGGTTTCTGGATGAGTTTCGGAGGAGGCGGCCAGGCTCTTGGACAAGGGGGGCGACCCAGTGGCACGTCCAAGGTTCAACACCTTCCCACCACCGATTCAGAGCTCCGGCCTTAGGGTTTGTTGGCAGCTGGAGAAAAAAAATACTCGGCTCGAGGGTGGAATTTATATTGATTTCTAATGATGCAGAGGCTCCTCTTCACGGCTGCGCAACTCTCGCAGCTGCCTTTCCATGTTTGCACGGCCCTCCTTTTTTTCTTTTTTCTTGCTGGTCGCCTCTCACGCTCCGGCAGCTGCCAGCACGCCTCCCTCCGGCCTCCCTACGACTAAGCCTCTCTCTGCCTTACCTTATACTTTTTCCTCTGTCATCATCTTCTCGTTTCTTCTCTCACCGAGTCCATCCCTCTTATTTTCGCCGCTGTTAGTACTTGTACTCCTACTCCTCATCTCTCAGCCCCCATTTCCTCCGAGGAACCCCATTCATCGTCAAAAATGCCCGAGTCCGAGTCACTCGTCCAAGGTCTCAAGTCACGGGTCCCAGGCATGGGTATGGGCATACCTGCATTAGTTACTTCGTACATGAGAACATCTGCTACGTGTAAGCTCTTATTGCGATTGATTCACAGCCCCCTGCTTGACCTGCCGCTGCCGCTATCCTCGGCCGCTGTCTCTGCATAGCAGCCATTGAAGGGACGAGTCGGAAATAGCCATGTTTGCCTCTGTCGCCGTTGGCAGCCTTCCGTTCTCCCCCCCTCGTCTGGTCCCATGGCGGCGCGGCTATGCCAAGTGACCTCACTTCGCATGGAGGCGGATCAACGAGAGAAGACGCACTTTGCGATGCTTGGGTAGTTCCAGATTGTAGGGATTTTTCCCCTTTTCCCCTTCATGCTCTTTCTTTTCCCCCCCTTCCCCTTTTCTCTGCGTTGGATGAAAAGATAACCTACCGGAGCAAAAGAAGTCGTCATCACCCATCATGTCACCTTGTCATTGCAACCACTGTTGACATCATTCTGTCGCATCTTTCGCTTCCCTGTGTGTAGACGTGCACGGGCTGAATCTGTGGGAGCTGGAGTTTGCCTCGAGACGGATTTGTGTTTGTCGTTTGATGCTTTATATACTGCCTCGCTTCACTACCTTAGTTTCACAAATCCTCCATCGTAGCCCAACCCCTCATCACCTAGACAGACTTGTGTTTAGCAGAAAATCTCGTCGGCTGGTTTTCACAAACTGCAAAGCCAGGGTGCCATTTTTTCTTCTTGACTCTTTTGTTTCGTCGTGTGGATTTTCTGCCTATATATAGTATAGAGGCGTTATCCTAGTCCTGGGCGGCCATTTCAAAAGCAAACGCGGCCCTTTGCGCGGGTCCAAGTCTTTCGAAAGCCTTACTCCTCGGCGTCGGCTCCCTCCTCGGCAGCGCCGTCAGCCTTGGCCGTCTTCTTCTTGGGCTTGCTCTTCTTCTTTCCGGTATTTCTGGCCAGGGGCTGTTCGAGGATCTTGAGAATCTCCTCGTCGGTGATCTTCTTGTCAGTCTGGAACTTGCTGAGGTCAAGCTCGGGGGCGGCGCCCAGCTTGGTGATGCCGTTCTTGGTGATGGCTGTCGCGCTCTCATGTTAGCTCAGCTGCACTAGCAAGGAAACTGCATTGCGAAGAAACTTACCAAGGGTGGTGAGGAGTCTAGCGACGGGGGCGTTGTCCTTGTCGCCGACAAGCTCGTACTGGCGGAAGACGTTGTTTCGGACGCACTCGACAACGCCAGACTTGGCATCACGCTCGTCCTCGAGCTGCCTCAAGCTGAAGGGGAAAGTGCCAAACTTCTTCTGCACTTCGGAGAGGATCTTGCGGGAGGTGGGACGCTTCAGCTGGTAAGTCTGGTTGGTTCGGCGGTGGAGAGTGGCGCGCTGGTCCAAGGTCTTGACCTTTCCGGAGCCCAGGCTGACGCCCGTCTCGACACCCCAGACCTCGCCAACCTCCGGAACGCCCTCGCCCTTGGTGCCCTCGGCGGGGGCCAGAACGATCTTCTTGGCGCCTTCGATCTCGTTGCGGCCAAACAGCCAGGAGGTGGTGCTCTCAACCAGCTTGCACTCGTAGGCATCGCAGACCTTCTCCAACAGGCTGGTGATCTTGGACTGGGTAGGCGCCTTTTGCGCAGCAGCCTTGGCCTTTTCTTCGTCGGTACCCTGGGCAAGGAGTCCGGGAGGGACCATCAGTCGCAGGAGGACCTCGTTGACGTAGTGGTTGGCGAGGATCAGATCAGCGGTGCGTCCGGTCACAGGCTCGGCAGCCTTGTCCTTCTCGGTAGCGACGATGGTGTTGCAGACAATGGAGCCGAATCCATCAATCTGAGCTCCAAGCTGGATCTTGATGGGTTCTCCCTCCTTGATCTCGATTGAGGCTTCGCTCTCATCGGTCGTGAGAGGCGTGTAAGGGGTCACATAGGAAGAGGGGGAGACGGTGGTCGGGTGAGAGAAGCCTTTTTTTGGCGCAAGCCGTCGTCGTTAGCCATCAAAGTGCACTCTGGACCTGTCATTGCTCGTTGAGGCTAACCTTTGGTGATCTTCTTTCCGCGGTAGACCTTGGCGAGCTCCTCCTCGATCAGCTTGTCGCCCTGCTGGCAGATGTCGACAATCTTGGCACCGGGCACGCAGAGGTCAGACACGGCAGCCAGGACCTTTTCGGAGATCTGGGCGGCGGTCTTGTACTTGGTGAGAGTATCGGGGTTGTTGAGGGAGTAGTCTGTAGGCAGCCGTTAGCCCTGCTTCGTGAGTTGTAGGCCATGATGGGCGCTGGAGACGGTGGTCGTGTGTCGTCACGGCTATTGGGCGAGACGGGAGAGCTTGCTGTGCTGTGGCTTTGGCGGGGGAGGGACAGCTTCGAGGCTGCTGCTGCTGCTTCACGTCACGTCACGCAGATGCACGCAAGAGCACGTACCGACTTCCTTGGTCTCCGACATGGTGGGCAATTGGTGAAGCTCACGGGGAATCTCTTGGGTAGGTGTTTTTCAGGCGTGTAGTTGTCGGAGCAAACTTGAAGCTTGGGGGGCGCTGTCGCAAAAAACAAGCAAAAGCTGTGTGCGCAAGGTTTCCCGAACGGGGGCTTGGAGGGGTTTATCCGCAGCAGTCGGTCATTCATGTGGGCTCTTCGGGGGGGCTATTTTTGCATGCCAGTGCAGTCATACGCACTGCTCCAGGCGGGCACATGCCTGCAGGGACGCTATACGGGCTGATCCAGGCTCTGGGCCAGCGTCTTCTGCCGGGCAGCGAGCTTCACGATTGGGTGGCCGCGGTGCCGGAGTGGGTTGTGCTAGTCAAGGTGAATGGAACTCCTCCACTGCTTCAGCAGGAAAAATAGTATCGGTCCCAAGGAAGCACGCCGGATCGAGCAGAGCCGCAAGCAAACAAGGAGCACTCTAGACTATCTGGGCCGAGGACGGGGAGGCCGGCACTGATCGAACTTGGGTTTGGTGCAGAATCCGAATGAGAGTTCTTTCATTGATGGCTTTGGAGGTCTGTACATACACATGGGCGGACAACACGCGGTGCAATTGGGGCAACAATCGATACGAAGCCGTCATAGAGATGGTGCCAATGGAAGGTCGAGACAAATGGTTACATCATCCTCGCAGCACATGCTGTTAGGGCATAACATGCACGTCACCGGCTTAGATGATCGCGGATCCGTTGCCAGTGACGAGTTGCTACCTATAACCCTGGAGCATCGACTCTTTCTCTTCGTCATGTGGTTTTCCGATTTGCTTCTTCCTCACGTGGCTCTAGTCCAGCGATATGAGAACCTTCAATGGCAATGTCGTGTTAGGACGTTATAGGGTACCTAAAGCCTCGGAGCTCAGGTATGCATGTCTCATGCTGCTACTGCTAACGCTTATGCTGGGCAATTTTCTCTTGTCAAGCTGTGCCAGTACTTAGCATTGAGTTGAAAGCTTCTGAATACACTCGTGGTGTATTACTCCGTAGAGTAGCATTGGCGGGTGGTGTTGATGTCTGAATTGCGAGGCAAGACGGGCTTTGCAGCTCCCATTTGCATACCTCCGTAGTCTCGTATAGCTCTGTTACGGCTTGCACGAAGAACTCGCTCAGCGGCGATACTTGTGTTTCTTTGCCAGCGGTTGAACGCCGGGACGAAGCATGCTCAGCTGGTCATCCGTAACGAAGCAATTGGCGCCTCAAGCGCTGCTGGAATCTCGACCCAAGCTTTGGTTGTTGTTGAAGCGCATCAAGCAAGTAGGTAATCAGCCCGTCACCAACGATTGGCCAGTGTGTTATGTAAGCCGACGTGCCTACTCGGTTCCTGTGCTAGCGCGCCCGGCAGCAGCGGCTAGGCCCGGATAGGTAGTTGTTCCCACTTGGCACCAATTATCACCATTCGCGCTGCTGCGATTAGAATCTTGTCCTCAAACCACCCAAACATCAGACTCGCAACCGCATCTCGCCAGCAGCGACCCTCTGTCCGGGTCGAACCGAGTCGAAGCCAGCGGCTGCACGACGCCTCCTCTTGTCGATCCTGCCATCGCTGCTGCTGCCGCCGCCCGCACCGATAACGATATCAATCCCATCCGTCGCACCGCTGCGACTCGGCGGCGCCAGCGCTCGCGACAAGATCCCATCACGACCACGATCCCCGACCATGGCCGCGGTCCAGCCATCCATGCCGGCTCCGGCCACCGGCCCAGAGTCGACGACGTCAGCCTCGGGCTCCGACGATGCCAAAGACGCCGCCTCCGGATCCGCGCCCGCGCCCGCGGACATTCCCGTGCGCACCAAGGAGTCCTTTGACCGGCTCATGGTCGAGCGATACACGATGCGCGACGCCATCGCCGCGTCCGCCCTCAGCCAGCAGCTGAACCAGACCATGAAGTCGTCGCACGAGATGCGCGAGATGATCAACGAGTACCGCTCCGTCCGCACCCAGTATCAGCAGTGGTTCCCCCCAAGTCGGCTGTACGGCGAGGGCTACAACGGCTACGCCAACGGGTACACAGAGAACCATGGCCCCTCGAGGGTGGTGTATCCGTCGCAGAAGCCTCGCCCCGGCCACCGCACCACGCCTCCCCTCAAATACAGCCGAAAGGACATGCTGAAGCAGGCCGAGCAGCACGAGGACCTGGTGCCCATTAGGCTAGACGTCGATTGGGACAAGATCAAGCTACGCGACACCTTCACCTGGAACCTGCACGAGCGTCTGCTGGCCGTCGAGCTGTTTGCCGCTCAGCTGGTCGAGGACATGGGCCTGAAGCCCCCGGCCTCTCAGCCCGTGTATGAGCAGGTCGTCCAGCAGATGCGAGAGCAGCTCAACGACTTCTACCCCTTCGCCTATTCCGAAGAAGACGCACTCGACCCGGAGCTCCCCTATTCGGCCTACAAGAACGACGAGATGCGCATCCTCGTCAAGCTCAACATCACAATTGGACAGCACACCTTGGTGGACCAGTTCGAATGGGAGATCAACAATCCGAACAACTCCCCCGAGGAGTTTGCTGCCGGCATGACGCGAGATCTCTCCCTGTCTGGGGAGTTCACCACGGCCATTGCCCACTGCATTCGCGAGCAGTCACAGCTCTTCACAAAGAGTCTCTACAGCATTGGCCACCCCTTCGATGGACGGCCGGTTGAGGATTCGGACCTTGTGTCTGCTTTCCTGCAGACGCCATTGCCCACCGTCTTCCGCCCGCAGCAACAGGCTAAAGAATACGCTCCCTACCTGTACGAGATGAGCGAGGCCGACCTAGAAAGAAACGAGACGGTCTTCTCCCGAGACCAGCGGCGGCAGAAGAGATCGATCAACAGGAGAGGAGGACCACAGCTCCCTGACCTCAAGGAACGGCAGCGTACCATCCGCACGCTCATCGTATCGTCGGTGCTGCCGGGGGCTGCGGCAACCATCGAGGAGAGCAGGCTGTTCAAGAAGGTGGCGGGTCCTCCTAGGAAGCGGACGGCTCGTGATGGTGAGATATCCGAGTCTGAGGAAAGCGAAGACTCTGCGCCTGAATCGCCAGCACCCTCAAATATGCCTGCCGGCACGGCTCGCACACGGGGCATGCGCGGTGCCGCCACCGCTGCCACGATAAGAATGGCGAACCTGGGCCGGTCAGAGACGCCAGACACAGCCGGCCACCATCATGAGATCAGGAATTCTCGCCGTGGTCGCGACGAAGAACCAGAAGATCGCCCGGAGCTGGTCGTGACGCTCAAGGTCAGCAGGGACAAGCTGAAACGAATCATGAAAGGCGACTACCGTGATCTGGCTGCTGCCTCCGTTCCGCCAGAAACTCCCTCTTCCACATCCAATATACGAACTCCAACCTTTACAGCTCCTTCAAAGACCAAGTCAGCGACCCCTGTCCCGACCCCGACTCCCTCGGGCTCTGCGGCTCCCGGTGCCGCTGGAGCTGTTCCCCCTGGGCAGATTGGCCGTCTGCCTGCGCCTCCGCTCATTCCTGGCCAATCCCCTCCTCCAGCAGTAAGTTGCCCTATGAAATAGTCTGCAGAATTTATGAGAAGAAGCTCACGCTTGCCTTCCTTCCTCTTTCTATAGCCTCCTCCGCCCGAATGGCTCGTGCAGTCCCTCAAGGAGCTCGAGAAACAGTATCCCAACGGCGACAGGTTCGAGGCCATAATGAAGTACTCACACCTCGACCCCGTCACGGAACTGCCCGTCCAGACACAGCCCATGCCGGAGGGCGTCAAATACGCCTGGCTGCCGCGCATCCGCTGCCTCGACTGCACGACGAAGCTGTACACCCCCGGCCCGGACATGACGGCGCAGAAGTTCGAGGCTCATCTGAAATTCTCGGGACACCGTGAGAAGGTCAGACTGAGGTTAGCAGCGCAAGGGAGTGGTGGTGGTGGCCCTTCATCAACGTCATGACCGAAAAGACAAACGAATGAACAAGGCACGTATACAAGCTCAGGCTGAAAGGAGAGGCAGATGAAAGGGTGGGGGGCAGCTTAATGGATGGGAGTAGAGAGAACCGCATTTTAGGCGGTCATCTTGAATAGCGGTCGCTTCTTATGATACGCTCGGAAACAGAATACATGGCGAAAAAACTTGTTTTGTGTAGGATTTGGCAGATATATAGTGTTTGAGGCAAAGGAGAAAGGAAGAAGACAGAACGTTCTTCATGCTATTCCATTATGCCGTTTCTGTTTTTTCTCTCTTCACACATCAGGAATCGGCGCACGATGAAAAGATTAGGAACATGAATTCTGTCGATACATCAGATAAAATCATCCAAAAGACGCCCTGCCATTTCCATTTTCCGCCTCCAGAGACGTCGTCAAATCCTTTCCCCCAACACTTTGCTGATGGTCATTTCGAACGACGGCCGTGAGTGAGAGAGAGATGAACGCATGTAACTAACGGGAAACATGAGACAAGTTGATAGCACAACGCAATGAGAGATGCAACAAGGGCTGAATATGAACAATTTTCTTTTCTGAAAACAAGGCAGACAAACCAAGGACACAACAACAAGAAGCCAGTAACTCAACACACGGGTGAGTTCGATGGAAGCAACAGCTCGATCCAGTCGAAAGGGCAAAATCAAAACAAAACGAAAAAAACATCTCAAAGAGGCCCAAAAAAGTATCAACGAAAATTCATCTCCAAGCAAAAAGAAAAGCCATGTCCCTAACATACACACATTGCATTTCACTCGTCGTCGTCATCCACATCCATGTCTGATGCGTCCTTGGAAGGCCGACCGCGAGTAGCACGCGCCGGTCGCTTGGCCTTGGACAATACGCTGGCCTTGACGGCTGGGGTCTTTCCCTTGCCTTTGGTGGTGGTGGTGGTGGCAGCGGCTGACTTCCTCCCATTGCTCCTGGGCGCCGGCTCCGGCTCTGACTCCTCGTCGTCTTCTTCACCAGCCTCTTCTGCTTCGGCCTCGGGCTCAGCCTTGTCTGACTCGGAGCCATCGTCCTCGTCCTCGTTGCCGCTTTCCTCTTGCTCAGATGCCTCCTCATCGTCCTCATCATCGTTGCCATACTCCCATTCCGCCACCCCCTCCAGCATTTCTTCCTCATCCTCCTCGTCGCCACGTTCCGTATACGTCGAGATGGCGTGAGCGCGCCCACTGCGACGCCGTTCGCCCTCGGGCACAGATGGTGCTGCTTTCTTGGCCTTGGGGGCCGCCTTGGGCTTTGCGATTTTCCTACCAGGAGCCTTGGCTGATTTGGCTTTCGGGCCTGGCTTCTCACGGATGACGGTCTTCATCTGGGTCTTCGATCTCTTTGCTGGATGGTCTGTCGTTTCATGGAGCGACTTTCGCTTCTATAGATGTGAGTTAGCGATTATTCGACAATTCGTTTCGTGTGTAGGGTGCCCCATAAGCTATACCTTCTTGCGGTCCATTGCCCGAATCAAGTCATCCAATTTCTCGTCCAGTTCGTCCGGAATATACTGTTTCTTTGCGATGTGCTGGGCGACCTCGCTGGACGGAAGAGCCGTATACAGGCCTGTAGGCAGACCAACCTTGCCCGGCCAAGCCTGGAAGCTCCAGTTCTTCCGCTCTTGGTACTTGCGAACCAATGTCTGCGCCAGGTCGCTCAACACGTAGAGGTTCTCACTCTTTTCCGGGTCGACTCCATCACGTGTCTGCTTGACCCTCTCGGCGTACTTGTAAATCAGCGATATGTTTTGCTCTGTCGCCACTGCGCCAAGATAGAACAGGAAGTAGTTTGCAAAATCAACCAGGTCGGCTGGGTCGGAGGTATAGTCTGGATGATGGGCAAGCAACGGGATGAGTCTTCCCATGAGAGCCTCCATGATCTGCTGCCCGTTTTCTGCATAGTACCGCGACCGTGACCGCAGCCATGTTTCCACACGGTTCTTCAGCTCTGGGAAAGGTTCAAACGCCGCGAGGAAGAGGATGGTGAGGAAGCGCGCGCGAAGTTTGCCCCGGGTGAGGTAGTTCTGCAGCTTGTCCATGAACCGACGGCGCACCTGGAGCTCAGGGTCTTGAACAAGCTCGGCAAGCTTGTTGAAACTTGCATGGTCAAACTGGTCGTCGTACTTCTTCACCGTGCAGAGTTTCAGGATCATCAGGCCGGCCATCAACCTCAAACGCTTCTTGTGATGCTTTGGCGTATCTTTGACCTTGGAAAACTCGCCGTCCGAGACGACAAAGGTCTTGAGAAGCTTAAAGATGGGCTTGACCCTTTCCTCCGCATCGGCATCTGTGGAAGTAGCCAAAGCTTGGTTGACGAGGATCCGAATAGAGAGGCACTTTGCCTGGAGCTCTTCGTCCATGTCGGCGTCATCAACCCAGGATGGATCCTTGTCCGTTGCCTCGGTTCGTACCTCGCGCAGAATCTGCTTGATGGTCATGTCGTTGATTGCCTGGTCTGAATCCACGGTGACGGTCGGCGCCAAGCGCTCGAGCTGACTTATGGTGGCTAGTTTGTTGAGCAGATGGGGTGCTTCGTACTTGAAGTTCGCCATCACCTTGCGCAGGAGATTCGTGGCTGTCACCTTACTCTTGTCATCGTTCTTCGCCAGAAGGATGTTGACGGCATACTTTGGCGTTTTTAAGGGCACGCCATAGAGAGCGTAGTTCATGAGCGTCTGCGTGAAGCTCCTGTCAAGGTTGATGTCTTCGGGATATCTCTTGGCATAAGATGAATAGGCCTTGAGAATATCCACAACGCCAGCATCGTGAGACTTGGTAGACTCGGTTGGTGCTTTCTGGATGAGCTCTTTCCGCAATTCTTCTGCATGAGCTTTGAAGATGTCGGGGTTCCGCTGAGATATGTCGTTGAGCACCTGATGTGCTACGGCGGCGAAACCGTTCTTATCGCTCTTGGAGTAGTCCATGATGGTTGCCAAGTGGCTTCGGTTGAACATGAGACAGCTTGATCGATATAGCAGAGGAATCAGGGTATCCAGAGAACTGGCGGCCGAGGTTGCCGAGATCTTCGTAATCAGCTCTGCAATGGCGCGCCTGACGGTCTTGAAGTCGCTTTCAGACTCGATCGCATATTTGATGAGTTGGTAGCAGCGACGTTCGTTGAGTTTGACGAATTTTTGCAGGTCGGCGCGAACCTTTAAGGGGTCGGGAAAGTAGGCTCCGAACCACTGCATAGTTTTGGCGAGGCCGGCCTTGACCTTGTCTTCGTTTGCCTCAATGACGCCGCCATTGTAGGCCTCGCATTGTTGGATGAAGATCTCAAGACCCTTGGCAAACTGAGGCTGGCGTGCCTGCATGGCGAAGAAGGCCTTTTGAGCCGCAGTGTCGAGGGACTTGAGCATCAGCAGAATTCTCTCAGCTCGTATCTTGTCCTGGTCCGCCTGGCCAACCGCAGCCTTGCCCTGAGAGGACGCAGCCGCAGTCTTGGCTCCCTTGCCCTTCATGAGGGGGTATTTCAGGGGTATCAGACATTCGAACATGACACGATCGAGGAGGACGTTGAGATCAGGATCGTTGGCGTAAAAGGCATTGATAATGCGTGACGGGACGCCCGCGAGACAAGCAGTAACAGCTTCCTGTCCATCGGCGATTTCTCCAGCGCCGACAGCCCATAGCTTGCCCAGCAGGACCATTGCCTCAACACGCACTGCTGGTTTTCTGTCTCGACATCTGTCTGCCAGACTGGCAAAGACCGAGCCCTCCTTTTCAACACCGCCGAGGATGCCAAGCTTGAGAATGATGTCTCGGAAGTCAAAGAGCTCAATGGCCTTGACGGCTGCTAACCGTACCTTTTCTTCGCTATCATTCAACTTGTCGACCAAAGCCCTCACCAGCTCGCTCTCCTCTTGGGTGCTCAATCCAATGCCACCGGCGGAAGTAGAAAGGATGTAGCCCACAGCAGTCACCCAGGCTGTACGGATAGTGCCCGTCTTGTCATTTTTCCTGCCAACGAAATTACGATATGTCGCTGCGTGTGACTGCGCAAACGACTGCGGAGAATATGGCTTGGTGAGAACGTTGGCTTCAGCTGCGACTGCCGGACTGTCATCCATCAGCTTGATAGGAGGGTATGCGGCAGGATCGAGAACAGGAGGCGGCGGAGGGCCAGCGGCTCCAATACCGGAAATCATGTCGCCGAATGTCTCTGTAGCTATCAGCCGCAAGTGTACGTTGTCGGCAGACAGTTCGGCGTCGAGTTGCGGAATCACATTTTGCAGCACAGCAGGTGCTGCCCGCCACAGTTCTCGAATGAGGAGGTGAGCCTGGCGAAGACTCTTGAGGTCGGCCTCTGAAGGTCCTGCGTGGGCATCTTCCTCATCCGAATCGTCCCCATGGCGGGCGCCATTTCCCGCAGTCGCAAATCCAGAGGCATTAAGGATGACGTCGCTGAAATACTGGCTCACATAGCGTGCCATTTTGTCTGCGCACCCATTACAGATGGCCTTTGCCATGACATAGGCCGGCGGCTCTGTCTTGAGGAGAAGTGTCGATTGCTTGCCATTCTGCTCCTTACTTCGGCCACCGCCAGGGGGGGCAGCTCGCAAGAACTGACTGATAATGGCGTCGATGACACTCGCCGGGACGCTGCCAGGAGACTCGTCAATCAGCTGGATCAGCATCTCCGTCAGGTGGATCTCGACATCCTTTGCAACCTGCTCCTCAGCCGGCGCTTTGGCGTTTGCAGAGACTCCATCAAAGGTGGAATTGAACAGGCGTAGTAGCAGATCGTCGGCTCCGTGAATTTCTGTCAAGAGTAGAATGCTCTTGACATCGGTCAGAGACATTAGAACGTATTTGTGCTGGCTGTTGTATGGATTCGTGGGATCCTGTAGGCTGGGGAGAATGTCTTTGATGAACAGCCCAAACATCATCTACGCAGAATCATTAGCAAGCAAGCAAGCAAGATGGAGGAGAGCCTCGAAGCTGGATTGGCCCACCTTGAGCTGATCGTCCGTGAACGGGGCGTCTGGCACAAACAGCCGCAGGATATCCACCAAACAGCAGGCCGTGTAGGCCTTGACGCCTCGATCCTTGTGCTGCAGCAGGTTGCGATGCGCCAGCTTGTCGGCGACGCCCCGGAGCGAGCTCAGGTCGACCTCGCCCTGCTCAAAGTCTGCCAGCTCCTTGGACAGCCTCTCGAGACGGGCCAGCAGCGTGGCGCTGGGGATGGGCTTCGCAGGCCGCCATGACAGCTCCTCGTTGAAGCGCAGTCTCCGGTGCTCTCCTTCGTATTCGCCCTCGGCTTCCTGCGCCTCTACCTCCTCCGCCTCGGGCTCGGCCTCGGGTTCAGATTCCACCTCAGCTCCAGCCTCCGAGTTTTCGTCTTCGAGCTCCGCCGCGTGAGACGGTTCCTCTGCTGGCGCGGGCGCCGACCGTCTCCTCGTGGACTGGCGAGGCATGTTTGATCTGCGCGGGCACAGAGGCGGCGGCGACGACGATGGCGATGCGATGCTGTTGGGAGGCGGCGAACAAAGTATCCCGAGGTCCGCTTGATTGGCTGGTGGCGAGGTGCTTCGTCTTGCTGCGCGCGGGTCGGGTCACAGCATCGCACGTTTGTTTGAGTTGGCGAGAGGAAGATGAGGCAAGAAGAGCAGCTGTTGAGCTCGCGGGTCTTCGAACAACAGCCGATCTCGGCAGACTTGACTCGGAAGTGAATGATTCCCTTTTTACTAATATTTTCCGTTCCTCTTCGCAGCCTTAAAAATTGGCGTGCGAGGCTGGTGCACAAGATGCGAAGATGGCGATGTCCGAGACAACACCTGCAAGTTTAGAGGGGAGCTTCTGCTTCAGTGCTTAAAGTTACGCGACGCGATGGGAGATGATCCGGAGTGGCCCCGCGTCAGCTTTGGCTGTGCGATAAGGCCGGATACCTGGGATTACGTGGGCTTTGCATACAAACTGCGGGTACCCTTTCTGCGCCATGCTCCAAATGTTTGTTTTCTTCATGCTCCATGTTTTGGCATCAACTCTCGTCGCTGGCGGTAGCATTCAATGCCGGTCTATTCACGGCGCCATCCAACTAGGCCTTAGTTGTCTCGAGACTTTTGATCGCAGTGATAAAAGCGTTGGCCGAATTCCGTGAGGAGAGCGTGAGGCGGAAGTTGGGCACGTAGAGCATCGAGCATTCGAGGAGCCCCCTATTTCCCGCCACTCGGGACTGCAAACATGGACGGTGGAAGCACCATGATGCCCAAGAAACCGATGAATGTGGTCAGTATCAAGGCCTTGAGGCTATGGAAAGTACAGCGAGCTTTAGCGTCTTGTAAAAACGTATTGCATGGTTATGCAAACTCTGAGTGTCACTTGACGATGGGTCATAGATGGACTACCTTACCTTACGTCTCCTGGCTTTGGTTACCTGTCTTTAAGGAACCGTGCAAGGTATTTTGTGCATATCACGACAGAATCTCTCAATTAGAGTCATCAGATACAATGCCCTTGAATTGCCTCGAGGCATCACCTCTACACTATCAGCAACGACAACAAAGCATCACTGCCGAGTCTGATCCGCACTTGAAACCAGAGCAGCAGCAAGCCGCCAAGTATCACCGGCTGATATGCAGCTCTCCATGAGATCGTACCCTATAAATACATGTACACAACCGCTTCAGCCTCGTAAGCAGTCCTTGGCTGTCGTCTACCTCGTTGGCACCTGTTGGGGCTCTTGTACTCAGCAGGTCTCACCAGCGGCGTTTGTTCCACGCTTCGTATATTCACACAAGGCCGGAGTACCCATCCTTGTCCTCCCGAGCTCTGGCAGAAGCTGTTGTACGAGGAGCCCTTGTGCTCATTGACTGCCATAGCTCCAGCTCAAGTGTCCAGGAAAATGCGTCTTGTCCAGAGAGGACAGTGACAGAACTTGCATCCCCTTAAACCTCTACTCACAGACGTACCTTGCCTGTCTAGAGCAACGAGATTATGTGTATCTGCGATATCCTTTCCATATATCTGCCTCCTCGTAGAGCTGTTCCTCAACAACTATGCACGTCTTCCGTTGTTGCCTCTTGGGCACGCCTTGCTCACCTGTGAACGAAAACGACAGAGTAGATGTAGATAATCGCTGCAGCTTGTGTGCCCCTTTACGTCTCTACCTACATACACATCGAAGGACTGAGGTATCGATGCAATGTTTCAGTCAATTTGATACCCTTGAATGTAAATGATAGAACTTCTTACCTTTGAACACTCGATACCCACGCAACAAGCTGCCACTGTCACTCACCAGTTTGCCGGTCCGGCAGCCAGCCTCCCAAACTCCATTCACCAGCTGTCAATATGTTCGAACCACAAAGCGTTCCAAATTCGAGAAACGCGTGGCTCGTTCTCCTCGGCCCATTGTTTGCTCCGTGATTCACTGCCGTGGAGGAATAAACAAACCATACCTTGACACTCGCACATTTCCACTCCTCAACCTTTTTCCCCCCCTTCTTCTTCCTTTTGCCTTCATCAAACACACTCGCTCGTTCGTTCACAACCGCATCGAAACCCAGTCTCTCTCTATATCTCCATTTCCCGCGTTCGATTCAAATACTCCTCACTCACTTAAGATTTCTTTGAAGCGTTTCAGCTCCCCAGGTTGGTAAGTAACAGCAGAAATCTCCTTTCTTCCCGTCCCGTGGTTGGCCATCGTCACGCGTGTATCACCTTAGAGCTCCTCTTCCCGACAAACTCTTCCCGCAGACTTCCATCACCCAGCCCATTTCTTTCGCAGCAGTCCCTCGCTAACGGCAATATATTCCAGCCTCATTATTCCTCTGCCCAATTCTCACACCGCAGAGAGTAGTTCCCAAGTAGGTCGCCTCCCCTCATTCCTGAAGCAAAAGAAGAAGCGACTGACATATTTCCCTCTCGGCAAGTGGCCGATATGAAGGACATCAAAGACGCCGAATGCGGCGTCGTGCCTCACAAGAAGATGAGCGCCGCTCAGAAGATCAAGGCGTATCTCCTTGATTTCAAAGTCATGACGGGCGCTGCCATGACCATCTGTGTTCTGGCCACCCTCCTCGCCATCACCCTCCTGGCCGCTCACTGCGGTGAGTTCTCCACCCTGTCCTCTGGGCCTAAACGCTGGATATAATTCTGACCACAAAACAATAGCTGGCCTGGAGAGATTGTACCAGACCCAGGGAGCAGTTACTACTGTTGCTTCTGGTGATGAGGCCGTCCCCGTGGTTGACCACAAGCTTGCGCGTCGCGCTGCTGACTGCAACGAGACCGAGTCCGCCATGTCCGCTGCTTCTGCTCAGGTCGTCACCTTGGTTCTTGACGATGGTTCCCTCGCCGTTGTGACGCAGGATTCTGTCTCTTACCCTGCGGTTTCTGTCACAAGCATCCCGATTTCGTAAGTACAAATCTCGATCTCCCCTGTTGAGAGGAAAACCTGCTAACGCTTTGCGCAGCACTGAGACGGCCACTTCGACCATCTACAGCATCATCACTCCCTCCGAGCCCGCTGTCGTGACCAAAACCCTGACAATGACCACGTCCATCCTCACTTCAGAGGTCCCCATGTGCTCAGCCATCGACAACACCGTCACCGTCACCGTCACCGTCCAGCCAGCCCCCAACCCCTGGGCGTCCAGCTCCGTCCTCGGTGACGTGACCGTGACCGCCGGCGCATCGACAATCACCAACGTCAACACGGACGTCTCCTACACCAGCGGCCTCCCCGATGCCACCGTCTCTGGAAATCCGTCCACCATCACCAACGTCGACGTCTCCATGACGGGCCTCCCAGACGTGACCGTCTCCGGAAACCCAGCCACCGTGACAAACGTCCTGACAGACGTCTCTCTCACCAGCGGCCTCCCCGACGCCACCGTCTCCGGCAACCCTTCGACCATCACAGCGATTCAGACCAGCTACTCCAAGCCCCCCATCACGTCGCTCGTCACAGTCGTCATCTCGGACCTCTGGAGCCCCCCAGCATCCTCCGGCTCCTCTCTCACCACGGACCTCGTGACAGTCACCGCCGTGTCCACCCTCAAGACAACAGTCACCACCATCGGCACAGCCCCCTCCCCCATCATCGTCACCGTCACGAGCAATCCACCCTACGTCGAGCCCGCCCAGAGCACCACTACTACCAGCACCACCGTCGCCTCCTTCGACAGCTCCAAGGCCGGCGCCGAGACCTTTGGCCAGAGCACCACCCTCACCAAGACCGTCACGGCGACAACCGTCCAGCCGGCAACGACCACGACCACCGTCTTCTCGAGCTACAACGGCACCGCCGCGAGCAGCGTCCCCGTCGGCACTGCCACCAGCACCATTGCCGTGCCCTCCATCCCCGTTGTTGTCTCCGGCAGCAACACGGGCCAGGAGGCGAGAAGCCGTGTCCTTGCCGGCTTCATCGTTGCGGTTGCGGCCGTCATGGCTATGCTCTAAAGGGGCTGCGGCTGGTTGGTAGATTTTCTTTCTTACGAGATTTGAAGTCTTTGGGCACGGCTCCATGATAGGGGAGGGGGTGGTTATATGCATGGAAGGGATCGAGCTGAGCTGATTACTTTCTTTTTCTTTTTCTTCTTAATTCAAGGTCTCTCTTTCTAGGTACGAGGCATCACCCATGAGTGAGCCTTTTCATGCAAATGGATGAAATATGGTCGGCTGGCCAAACACGATAGCAATGGATGCTTTGTTTAATTCCCAGTTTCGGATCAAGCAAGGGGTTAGGTATAACGCACCTAGGAATGACAAGTCAGGTCAAGTCAAGTCATTGTAATGTCTCTACTCGCAAAGTAATCGTACAACTCTCTGTTCGGTATCCAATCGCATGTTTGTAAATTATTACTCGGTAAACTATAGAAGCCCCAAACCATAGAGCCCTGACGATAAGGGCCCAAGAAGCAATGCTTCTTCGACATCCACCAAAAAAAGCAACTTGTCCAAACGCCTGCGTCCTACTCCCAAAAGACGTGCTCCAGTGACGCCGTAATTCCCCATCTTACCCTGCCCAGCCATCTGTGGTATCTTATTAACGGGTTACATTTCGAGTTGTGCTCCGTCCTCTCCTTTGGGCCCTGGCTGCTCTGTTTCCGCCCATGCCACGACCTCTACCACGAGCCCTTCCTCGAGTTTGCTCAACTTGATATTCTGCCCCAGCTTTCAATATTTCCATACATGAAGGCTTCGAATTCTCTATTGGGGGTTCCCTTCTTTCTTCTCCCATCGAATTCCTCTCACCTAAGGGAGAACCTCTGATTCGGCCCCTGCCACGCCCCCCTCGAGTTTGCTCAACGCGATATTCTGCCCCAGCTTCCAGGTTTTCCATACATGGCGGCTCTATCGGTGGTCCCTTTCTTTCTTCTCCCGGCGGCTTCGATCTTTCTATCGTGGGTTCCTTTCCTTCTTCTCCCAGCGACTTCCTCTCACCTCCGGGAGAAGCTGGGGACTGGCCGCCCACCGAGCCAGGTACGGAGAAGGCTCGAGCATCGAGAGCTTTACTCTATCGTTGCGCACGCGCATTCTCCCGTGCTTGTCTCGCCTTCCAGCTATCTCGGATACGGCCAGCGGCATCGTAGAGGTCCTTGACCGAAACGCGGTCCTTGATGCTCTCCAGGACGCTGACAACTGTGCTTTTGTGGTTTGCCTCACTTTTGTCGTCCCTGAAGCGGAGAAGCCGCCATCTCCTCTGGTCGTCTTGGTTGCACTCCACGATGCGGTCATTCAAAGGGTCATTCAGCCCTTTGAGAATCTCCCACTCCTCTTCTGTGAGGTAGAGGTCGTCGAAGCGCTCGTACTTTTCTGGGCCGTCACCCCTGTAGACATATAGTTCCGCTTTTGGCACGCTATCGTAGTCCACAAAAGGTTCGGTGATGCCCTCCTTGCGCTCCCATTCGTCGGGCTCAACAGTTGGGAACGAAAGCCTGAGCCGCAGGTCGATGGTGTTTTCTTCCGGGGGCTTCCACTTGAGAATATGAGGGTCGGTGCCGTGCTTATAAGGCGTGTTTCGGCATGTGAAAATGAGACCGTCGTTACCATGCTTCAGACTGGGAAGGATCTGCTTAAACATCATATCGATACCGTAGCCGAGCTGGAACGGCTTCATCTCCATGATAAACGGCTGGTATTGTTTTTCGTCGGGAAAGTCCTTGAACAACTTCTTATACGGCGTATACAGACGCTCCTTGAAGTAAGCCAGCCGCTTGTCAAGAGACCGATCCATGAGCTTGTTCCCGTCCATAACTAAGCAGTCAAAGACAAGAAACCGGGCTTCCTTTTCCCCATTCGGCAGTTTATCCCAGACCAGTTCGCCATCGACGAGCGTTGCCGTGTGGAAGGCACTGACATCGTTCTCGCGGGGGAAGTGTAAGCTCTTGTTAGTGATATACCAGTAATCGTTCTTGCGGTCAATCAAGTAGTGCGCCTCCCCCTGGTTTTCGTCTTCGGTCAGGTAGAGGAGGTAGCGGATGCCGTCGGATTTTTCGCAGACGTAGTAACTTATAAACAAGCACGCGTTAGCCGATATACTCTTACAAGAGTCGAACCCGTCTTTGGAGTCTGCCGTACTCTTGCTTAGTCAATTCCTCCAGATGCTGTCTGGCGAAGCTGACGGGCTGAGCACCAGGGAAGCTGGTCTGCTGCCTGCCCAGCAGATCGGCGACCTCTCTGCGCATTGTATGTACGAGAGCGCCTTCGGCTTTGATGCCGGGCTCGTCGATTGACTCTATCGGCCCATCTGGTTTGGGCTCCATGGCTGGCTTGCCTGCCTGTCCGCGCTGGCTGCTTGCCTTTCCAACCTCTGCTCAGTGGCGCGTCAAGCGACGATTCGCTGCTGTAGAACCGATACTGGTAAATGAATATAGACAAGAAAAATTGCAGCGACAGTGGTTAGTCGTTAAGGATAGAAATATAATACACGAAGCCTCGGCGCATCTGGAGCCAGACGCTTCGAGAGCATTGAGCTTCGCGTATTAAGTAAGAGTGTAAATTGGTTGGAGCTGGAAAGAGTTGCGCTCAACAAATGGTAGGGAGCTGGAGGCTTAGCATCTGCTGTCAAATGGGGCTTGCACTCAGTGCTGCTTGGCTTATCGATAAAGGAATAGGCAGATCCCCCTCCGCTAAAGCCAACGGTAAGGTATGACGAGGCCTGACGAGGCTAGACGACGACCACTGAGGAGGCATCCTGGTACATAAACATGCCATTTCATCGATTCAACTCTCAACCGGCAAGAACTGGCGTCAAGTAACTTTACGCCACGATCCATATGATTAAGGCCACTTGTGAAGAGACAACAAATAATTGCGACTCTCAGTGACGAACAAGCAGAACTGTTGCCGTTAACCTGCTTGGATGCAGGGTATTGGAGTAGTGGAAGAAGCCGGCACGGGAATCCCGCTGCAAGGCAAAACCCTCTATATTGAACAACAGGGTTAAGGCTATCTAACTACAGGCGTCTCGTCATTTCACCTATGTATTATTTCAGAGCACATTAGTACAGAACAAATCGCTCCCAGAAAGGCGCTCAGGGCACCGAGAACTGATGAGACGACGGCAGAATTTCAGATGACAGATCCGGCTTCTCAGCTCATCTCGAGCAACGGGTACTCAGTTCTCATCGATCTTGTCAACCTCTGCCCTGGCTTCCTCCCATTGCTGCTTACTCTTGCGCGCCCATTCAATCTGGCTCCTGGCATACGCCAACTGTAACAGATGTCAGTATCATCAGTTCTTCGAGAGGGTGGAGGTAACCCGCTGCGCGGTGGGTTCGATTCACTCACCATGTATCTCCGCAAATCATCCTCTTTATCTTTCTGGAACCGTTTCAGATCTTCAAGAACACTTGCACTGGCCTCCTTGACATCCTTTTCAGAGACCACCTGCGCTTGCTCTAGTTGGATAATAGATTCACGCGTCTTCCCAATTGTGTCTCGGCGGGTTCGCTCAGGATCCACGTCTACGACTCCCTGAACCGCGTGGCGGATTGGCCCAAAGATCTTGTTCGTTATAGAGTTTGTGCTGGGCATCTTTCTGTGCGTGTTGCTCGTGCTTCTCTCGGGAAGGCCTTGGCTGGCAGATGGGGGCACCGACGGGAAGTCGCCGTGGGTGGGTGGGAAATCCGAATCTATAGATTCAGTGTCTTCTTGACTTCCATCGCGTCGGTGCTGCGTCGGGGGTTCTCGATGGCTGGCTGACCGTTTCGGCTCAGGTGAGATTGTTTGGCTGTTTGAAAGATACTGTTCGATGCGTCTCGCTTCTGCTTCACTGCGCTCCAGCTGGTCCAGTAAGGCTCGCTTCTTGTTCAGCTCCTCGGTTGTCATGTCCTGTTGCACGCGCTTGAGAACTCTATACCGCAAGACGCTCCTGACAACTCCTGCAAATTGAGCGTTTTCTCTCATTGGCTCCGCGAAACTTGCACCTAGAGTGCCCGACAGCTCTTCGGTTGCAATGTATGACGCATCGGCGGCTTGACCTATCCGCTCGATAGCCGGTCCTAAGGAGGGGGCTTGTTCCGACAGGGCAAATGCGTTGTACCTCGATCCCAACTCGCAAAGGTCTGCCGCTAGGGATGACAAATGGCTGAGGGTTCGGCGGTTGACCTTCTCCATGGGACCCGTGAGAAGCTGTTCTAGCTCCTTAATCGAGGCTTCATAGGAAATGAAGTACGGGTCAAGTTCCTGCTCGCTTAGTTTGGACGCATCTGCCGGAAAGCGTTCGATCGCATGAGCCGCGCCTTGGAGAACGGAGGCGCTCAAGTCTTGACCACTGGCCGGAGCCTTGAGCTTTGCTGAGCTGGAAGGGACTGGAAGGAAGTTGTGCGCAGGGGTTGGATTCGCGGGGTCCAGCGGAGGTGCTTTGAGAATGGATTTGGGTATAGAAGCGACGGGGTGAGAATGCAAGACCTCGCTCTATCATCATGTCAGTCACGGCCGAGGCAAAACACTTGGTATCACAGAGGGTGCAGTACCCAGCTTGAGTTTGGGTCAAGAAATCTCCACCAGACGCCGTCCTCTCTCACGGCATCCATTCGACGGCAGCGGTTCAGGAAGACCATCAGCATGCGCTTTCGTAAGTCAATGATTTGCTGATCTTGCTTGGCGCTTGTGGGATTCGCAGCGTAGTCGGCCATGGTGTGCTTTTCGGGAATAGGCGGGATGACAAGCGTTGGATGAAGACGGGTCAAGGCTTCTCTGAGCGAGGCGAATTCAGAATACCGGCGACGAACTTCGAGATCCTAAACGCTGGGGTCAAATGGTTGTTCATACAATGGAGCTGAGCCGCGACGAACCCCAGTCTTAATGGTATACACAATGTATCTCCCTCCACTTTCCACGCTCTTGCCCGCGTCAGTGATCATGATGGGCATGTTAGGGTTCTCGTAAAGAATCTGCTCAATGCGGCTGTTGTAACCGCCTGGCTTCCGTCGTGGAGGCGCGTCATCTGCCAGTACGTCCTCTTCGTCAACGTGCCCGGCGCCATGGCTGAAGGGCGCACGCGGTGAATGAGCATCGTCGCTGCCAGTTGAAGGGGTGTGGGAAGTCTCAAAAACTCCATCTACGGTGTCCATCCCGTGTTAGTTCTGCCTCTCTTGTCGTCGCGACAGCTCACAAACGCTGTCCTTGAGCAGGTAACTCATAAGAGTTCCAAGCGACGAGGTGCAATGGACTTACAGTCTCTGGATGTCGGCGAGCTCGGGATTGCTGACGATGAGGTTTGCGAATCCCGGCGATCGAAGCTGCTCCCATAGGGATTATTGTCCTCGTCGTTCCACATGATGACGGCGCTCTCGATCAGGCGTCTGTACGTGCGGACACCGCTCTAAGGGGAGTGCGCGGCTGCAGAGAAGGGCGCAGTATCGCCAGAATGAGCTCTGGACGGTCGTTGAGCTTCTGGGGCGACGGTGGGCTGCGGGGCGCAGTCGGTTATGCCGCAGTGACGGGATTCGAAAGTCAAGGTGCGTGCAGGTAAAGTGCCTGGAGGGCTGTCGCCATTCTCTAGGAAACACAGCGGGAAGAAGCCGTCAAGGGAGACAAAGACAAATGGGAGGCTGTGGCGGCGGTTTGCAGGCAGAAGCGGAGAGCAAGGCGTTGGCTTGAGAAGCTCCGGCAGGTCGCTGAGGTTGGAGAAGCCTTGCCCTGCCAGCCTTCCAGGTTGATGACGATACCGCGCGCACGGACCACCTCCATCACCCCGAGCAAGCAGAGGCAGGTTCTCTGGCAAACGCGCGCAGTACCTGTGAGGTACAGTTCCGCTCGTACCCTCAGGGTTCTGAGATCGCTTGCTTGCCTCATGCTTCCAAGGTTGGTTGTCCGCATTCAACCACGAACTGCTGCCGCCAATCCCTGCAACTCGCGATGCGGGCTGACTCTGCGTTTCCACTTTGGTTTTTGTTGCTGAGATGCAAATTAGGTAAGGTACGTAGCCGTCTATGACCACATACAAATCACTTTTGATGAGTACCTTACCTCTACCACTCAACTGCAGTGGGCGGTCGGTAAGGTACCTAGGTACCTATGTAGGGTAATTCAGTGCTCTGGACTTCTCTGTTTTTGCGTCTTCCAGAATGGACGGTACCTCAGCAGTACCGCAGGCCGCGGTACAGGTACCCATACTCGCCTCGTATGGGAGCTTCAACACCATCGAAGTCGCAGATTGATTAACATTTCTGATTTTGCAGACAACATATATCACCGCAATATAGGATCAAACTTGACGACATATGGCCGCATTATTTGCTATGTCAGCCGGGTTCCCTGCGTACAATCCTGCTATGCTCTGGCTGTGTTTGTACAAAGATCCTCATACGTGCCGTGCAAATCGAAATATGTCTGGGTGAATACTGAACGTCCAGGTGGTTCAACTTCCCTAAGATCTAAGGACCAGCAGATTGGAAATTTTGTGGCTATCTTCTGAGTGGACCTGGTTTCTCATGGGCCTTCCTTATTACCATATTGACTATGCTGTAGTAGTAAAACCAGAACCCTGACATTCCATCGTCCCACCACCGGAATAGTGACTGATCAATAGCGGCGAGGAGGCGTCTCAAAATCGTCACTGTGAACCGTAGCAACATCGCTCCGAATCGATGACAAAGAGTCGCTGGAGGTGTTGAGGTTGCATAGCATGGATGAAACATCATCTCCGTCATCGATCGGCAGTTGCAGTTCTTTTCTCTCTCTCTCATCATCAAATCGGACTTTATGGCCATCGGAGCGTGGAGAAGCAGTCAGAGGTTTGGCATCGACATTTTCAATTTGCGAAGTTTCCGAAGGCTCTGGAGACGAAGAGCTCGTCACAGTAGATGCGTCTCCAACAGGCAGAGTAAACGCCCTGTAGAATCGTTGCCACCATGTGGGTTGGCGCGGAGGATATGCGTTATCCGCAGGCTGGGCTTGCTCCCGGTGACTTTCATGTGCTTTTGGAAGCCCAGAAGCCATGCCACCTGGATGATTGCCGTACGGTGCCCCTTGCGGTCGAAAGATCGGAGCTGGTAACTGAACATGAGCATTCGTGACGCCGAGTGGCACAGTTGTTGGGATTTGGGGTCCAGGGAAGAAATACATCGGAGCTTGCTGATGAACTGCATAGTTGAAGACGGGCACTTGGTGCACGACAGGAGGGGGCGCTTGCTGCACAATAGGAGGCGGCACTGGCCTTGCCATGGTGTCCGGCGTGTGACGGCGTGGGTTTGTTCGTTGTCGGTCAGGAGTATTCTGTGCCTCGGTTTGTTGGCGAAAGATCCTCGCCCTGCCCATGCAATACATCCACACCACCGACAAGAAGAGAACGGTGACGACGATGGAGAAGATGATTCCAAAGTGCGTAGCGGAATTGAGGCAATGCCACCCGATGCAGGAGTTGGGACGGCGGTGATCCTGAGTTGGCTCTTCTCCCTTGGAAGGGGGCATAGCTGCGGTTACATTTGGCGGAACACGCCGATCCAGTCGAGAATGTCGTCTGCACCAGATAAGCAGCGCATGGGTTTTGACGATGCTTGAATTCGCATGCAGTGGCACGGGACAGCAGTCGTGAGTGTTGAAACGTACAAGTGCAAAGTTGCTCTTACAGGAAGAAAGGAAGGAGTTTCAGATTCCTCACTGCATGGAGTATACCTAGTACATGTATGTTGCTTGACCGCCTAGGTAGGCATCAGAGCCTCAGAGCGCTTCCATCTGGCTGGCGGCTGGCAGATCTTTTGGCAAGTTCCCCCAAAGTACACAGCTCCAGGCCTCGTGGTGCGCTTTGCGAGCTGGGTGTCCGGAATCGTTAAGCTACCTAGAGAGCTCACCACTTGGTCTGTTATCTCTTTGATGCTTCGTCTGCATGAGGAGATTGAAAGATGCCGATAGTAGGTCCTCTATGTACGATGCATCTCTGACTTGGGTACCTTGCTCGGCCATTTGCGCATTAAGTTCTGCGTCCTCAGGGGCAGACACTACTTACGCGGATAGTGGGAGACTTTGTTCAGAATTCGCCGTTGCAGGTAAGATATTCTGTCATAAATTGAATCAAACGCCCCCAAACCTTTCATTTTCTGGCTCTCAATAGAGTGAAAAGGTAACGCTTCCATTCAATGACTGTTCTCAGGGGTTGAGAGAGTGTGGACTGAACTACCCGCTCAGCACACTGCCCCTTTCTGCATGAGACAGAATTTCATCTCAAATAGCTGATGCAAGGTTCATGTCGATGAAGAACAGTTTCTCGTTCCCCCGATATATATCGTTGAGAACGTAGTCACATAACAAGGCAGTAGGCAGAGTATCTTCAAGTTGGTGATGCGAGTGAAGTCGGGCGCTGGCCAATAGCCAACCAGGCTGCATCGCGGCGCGCACGGACCACTTTGGCGTTTCCCTGAGCTACATGGAATTTCTGGCTCGCCTCGCCGTGTTAAACCTCCCAAGACTCGCGATAGCACGCCTTTTGGCAACCACCCGCTCGACTCTCGACCTCGAATCCATCCCGCTCTCGGCCGGCAGACCCTGTCATGATATAGAGAAAGCGGGTGAGCCATTCTGCCAGTCACCTCCGAGGCGCAACACCAGCTCGGCGGACGCGTTCCTGCGATCTCGCCCGACTTTGACGCAGCCCCAACCCGACATCCTCCCGGCCATTGAATCGCAGCATCCATCATGGCGGCTCTCCAGAACGGCGCGGCCAATGGCACGGCAAACGGAGATGCCGCGAAGCACCCTACCAGCACCCGATTCTCCGACATCCCCTCCGCCATCGATATCCCCGTCCAGGGCGACCAGGAAGACGAAGCGGTCGAGATCGACCTCGAAGACCTTGTCGACGATCCCACCGAATTGTGTACCCTGTTCGAAAACGAACATGCGGCAAAGACGTACTGGATGACCGTCGCGCTGGCGTATGCGAAGCAGCGCAAGATTGACCACGCCATCGAGATGCTGATCCGAGGTGGCAACGCAATCCAGAGCAGCAACCCACGCGATAAGGTCAGCATGATCTGCTGTCTCTGCTGGATGTATCTGTGGAAGAGTCGAGAAGCGCCTCGCGTGGCACCGGACGGCGTTCCTGCGTCAGAAGCCAAGACGAAAGAATACTATCTCCAGCTGGCAACGTCATCCCTGAATGACGCTGCTCGTGTCAATCCATCCTTCCCACCCATCTTCCTTGCCCGAGGAGTCTTGCTCCTGCTCAGAGCCTCATTACAAGGACCATCAAAGACCGCTGGAGGCCTGGGGACCGAGAAGAGTGAGCTGCTGAAAAATGCCGCCAAAGCCTTCGATGATGCTCTCCGAGTCTCTCAAGGGAAGAACGTGCTGGCCCTGATGGGCAAGGCCCGCACTCTGTTTTCCATGCACAAGTACCCCGAAGCTTTGGCTGCATACCAGGACGTGCTTCAGAAGAGACCTGATCTGGTGGATCCCGATCCTCGTATTGGCATTGGCTGCTGCTTCTGGCAGCTTGGGTTCAAGGAGGATGCCAAAGTGGCGTGGGAGAGGTGTCTGGAAATCAACCCCGACTCCAAAGTCCCCAACATCCTCCTCGGCTTGTATTATCTCGATGCCAGTGGCCATGTGCCGGTCAACAGCGACGAGTTCCTCAAGCTTTACAAGACAGCCATGATTGAATACACCCAAAAGGCCTTCAAGCTCGATAAGGAGGTACCCATCACTTGCGCCACCTTTGCAGGCTACTTTCTCTCTCGAAAACAATGGGACAATGCGGACAAGCTGGCTCACAAGGCCATTCAGTACACTGATGTCAACGCCGTTGCCAGTGACGGATGGTATCTGCTGGCCCGAAAAGCTCATTACAACGGCGATTTGGAGCGTGCCAGCGACTACTATCGTCGCGCCGACGATGCTCGCGGAGGTACCGAGACTGGCTATCTCCCAGCCAAGTTTGGTGTTGCGCAGCTGTCCGTCATAAAGAATGACTTGGGAGAGGCGAAGCTGCGACTGGAGAAGATCATTCAGCAATCCAAGAACCACGAGGCCATGATTCTCCTCGGAACCATCTACGCGGAGGAGATATTCACCAGCCAGAACAACGACAACAAGGAGGACAGGTCCGCGGAAATGAAAAAGGCTATTGCTCTGCTGGAGGGTGTCAGAAATTCTTGGAAGGATCCTAAGAAAGCACTATCGCCAGACGCTTCAGTGCTCCTAAACCTGGCCCGCCTATACGAAACGGAAAGCCCCGAGAAGGCACTGCAGTGTTTGCAGCAGGTTGAGCAGCTCGAAATCGACCAGATCCCAGAGTCAGAGCGCCCCACAGATGTGCCCGAGGCCGAAGTCCAGGCAGCCCTTCGCAAGTTCCTCCCGCCTCAACTCCTGAACAACATTGGCTGCTTCCACTTCCAAGCCGAGAAGTACGATCTTGCCAGTGAGATGTTCGAAGCAGCTTTGGGTGCCTGTATGAGAGCTGGCGAGAAGGACCCCACAATGGATACCGACGCCCTGGTGACGACCATCAGCTTCAACCTCGGACGGAGCTACGAGGCTCGTGGGCTAACGGAAAAGGCTGTCGAGGTCTATGAGGGCTTGCTCAACCGCCACGACGATTACACCGATGCCCGCACACGGCTGGCGTACATTAAACTCCGGAAGAACCCCAACAAAGAAGGGCCCGATGCCGTGGCAAAGCTGTACCAAGAGAACACGGCCGATCTGGAAGTACGAGCCCTCTACGGATGGTATCTTGGCAAGGTCCACTCAAGAAAGCGCCCTGCCAACATCGCAGAGGATCACGAGTTCCGTCATTACAAGCACACATTACAAAACTACGACAAGCATGATAGGTATGCCTTGGTCGGGATGGGTAATCTGTACCTCGTCCAGGCCAGAGAAATGCGCCGTGAAACAGAGTCAGAGAAGCAGAAGCGAAGCGCCACATATGCCAAGGCTGTCGAGTTCTTTGAGAAAGCTCTGTCGCTCGACCCGAAGAACGCCTATGCTGCTCAGGGCATTGCCATCGCCCTCGTCGAAGACAAGAGAGATTACAAAACCGCCCTTACCATCTTCAATCAAGTCCGGGACACGGTCAAGGATGCGCACGTTCACGTGAACTTAGGGCACATCTACGCCGAGCTGAAGCAGTTCTCCAAGGCTATTGAGCACTATGAGATTGCTTTGTCCAAGGAGGGTAAAGCAAATGATCCGGTCATCCTCTCATGTCTCGGCCGCACGTGGTTAAACCGAGGGAGGGCGGATCGGGATGTAGACTCTTACATCAAAGCCCTCGAGTGCGCAAAGAAGGTAAGCTTACCGCTATTTGGTATCGTAGCCATGACCATCCTTGCTAACGTGAGAACTCACAGGCACTTGAGGTGGCTCCGGATCAGATACACTATCAGTTCAACGTTGCCTTTGTTCAGATCCAGCTCGTGACAATGATTCAGGGCCTGCCCGAGAACAGACGGACGGCTGAGCAACTGGAAGATGCATCTCAAGGTCTCGAAGCAGCCATTGAATCTCTTGACAAGATTGCTGCCCATCCCCAAACGCCTTACCCCAAGCATGACGTTGAGCAGCGTGCCAACATGGCCCGCAACACGCTCCGCAAGCAGCTCGAGAGAGCTCTCGGCAAGCAGAAGGAATGGGAGGAGAAGAATAAGGAGAAGATCCAGGCCGCCAAAGAACTGCGCGAGGCCGAGCTGAGGAAACGTGAGGAGGAGAGGCAAGCCGCCTTGGAAAAGGAGCGCGAGCGCCAAGAGAAGATACGGAAAGAACGCGAGGCCATCGCCGCCCGTGATAGGCTCCTCGCAGAGAAGCGGGCCGAGGAGGAGCGCGCGCGAATGGAGGCCGAGATGACCACGGATTCAGAGACTGGAGAAAAGGTCAAGCGGAAGCGCAAGCCAGCGCCGCGCGCCCCTGCCGGCGAGGGCAAGCCTAAGAGGTCCAAGAAGAAGAAGGCCGCTGCGGATGAAGACGAGGGCTCCGAGGAGGAGAGTCACACCAAGAAGCGACGCCGCCTCACCAAGCGGGAGTCTTCCAAGTTCAAGTCTGCCGAGATTGTGGTAGATTCCGACGAGGAAGCCAACGACGACGACGAAGATGCCCTGGAGCGTGCCGAGCGGAACCTGGAGAGGGACGAGACGCCTCTGTCCGAGGCCAACGAGGACGTTGCCGACGACAAGATGGATGTGGACAACGAGGAGCAGCAGCAGCAGGAGGATCGTGATCGCGGCGATAGAGATGAGGCCGCCAACGACGACGAGGACGATGACGTCGATGCTCCCCGGACTCAGCCCAAGAGACGCAGGGGCCGCGTGATTGCGGAGAGCGATGATGAGGATGAAGAAGGTGCGGAGCCCAGTGCCAAGGCAGCAGATGATGGCGCTGCGGCGGGGGATGAAGATGACGAATAATAATTTTTCATTTGCTTTCTTGCTTTTCGTTGGCTTTATTTCGGGTGTTGTTTTACGTGGGAGAAGGGGGAT